ACTACCATTGAGTAGCCATGAAGTCTGCCAAATCAATCAGTGAGAGTATCTGCATAGAGGCAATGAAGCAGGTGGTGTGTGTGTATGTATGTGTGTGTGTGTGTATATATATACACACACACACACACATACACACACACCTGTGGAATAAGGTATATACACACTTGTGTAAAGCAAGTGTGAATGCTGCAATGAGCAAGCCTGACTAGAATTGAGTAGCCATGAAGTTTGCAAAGTCAATCAGTGAGGGGGCACCCTCTGTTTAGGAGGTGTCGCCTGGCCCATGATTATATACCATGGAATAATGTCCAGGGTGGGAGAAAGAACCCTTGTCTGTTTGAAGCAAGTGTGAATGTTGCAATTAGCAAGCTTGAATAGCATTGAGTAGCCATGAAGTTTGCAAAGTCAATCAGTGAGGGTATCTGCATAGAGGTTGAAGCAAGTGGAGTGTATAATATCTCTGTTATGGAGGGTGGGAGAAGAACCCTTGTCTGTTTGAAGCAAGTGAATGTTGCTAGTGTGAAGTCTGCCAAGTCAATCAGTGAGGGTATCTGCATAGAGGCAATGAAGCAAGCAGAGTGTATATATACCCCAAAGGAGATTCCTCAGAGAATGCAAGCTGTTTATGGTGATTGTGTTGATGTGAGTGCTGTGCGCCATTGGGTGAGTAAGTTTAAAGATGTTGAGGTCACACTTTCTACTGTCTAGAATTCAATGACTGCACGTTACTTAAGTCACACTGACCAACCATCTGCGCAGGGTTCCATACTTTGCACTTTAACAACATAACTTCAATGCTAAGGCTTCCCGCCAAAATGGAGCTGTAGAGGAGAGTCTACGGAACAAGCCAGTACCTGCTGCATACCAGTACTGCTGCTATCTGTTGAGGAGTTACGAAGGTGGAGGCATTACTTTTCATTCAATCCTCATATATAATTTGAACCCTGGGGAAGCATACAAATATTAAAATAAGGTTAAGCATTAAAAATATTCAAAATTACTATTTAAAAGCAATTAAGAATTTATTCACATAGCTTCTATTATTATTGTTATTATTATTACACAATCACCATAAACAGCTTGCATACTCTGATTAATCTCCTTTGGGGTGACACCTTCTACTGTCAAGAATTCAATGACTGCACGTTGATTAAGTCGCACTGACTGACTGTCTGCGCAGGGTTCCATACTTCACACTTTAACAACACAACCATTCAATGCTAAGGCTTCCTGCCAAAATGGAACTGTAGAGGAGAGTCCACTGAACAAGCCAGTACCTGCCGCATACCAGTACTACCGTCTGTTGAGGAGTTACGAAGGTCTGTCAATGCTAAGGCTTCCCAGCAAAATGGAACTGTAGAGGAGAGTCCACTGAACAAGCCAGTACCTGCCGCATAGCAGGTTGAGGAGTTACCAAGTTGGAAGCATTATTTATCATTCAACCCTCGTGCGTGTGTTTGTGTGTATATACACATATACATACACACACACTCCACTTGCCTCACTTTCAGCCTCTGAAGATGCTACAGATGCAGGTGAAATGTAAGGAGATGATGCTGCTGGCATTGAGTCGCCACGAAGTTTGCAAAGTCAATCAGTGAGGGTATCTGCATAGAGGTAATGAAGCAAGCAGAGTGTATAATATACCTGTGGAATAATGTCCAGGGTGGAATATGGCCACACAGCCCGAAAACCTCACAGCAACCCGGATATATTTGGGTCTGACCCCTACCCGAAGCCTTCCAGTGGGGCCCACAATCCACTGCTTCTTTGCCTTGCCTCTCAATGACCAGGATCTCACGTTGAGAGAGTTCTCGCAGCATCGCAAAAGTAAACGACTTTGATATCTTTCCTTGCAGCATCCTCCCTCCAAAAAAGGTAAACAGTTCCACTCTCTGCGGTCCCACTGGAAACCTTTCCCATTTCCGGACTTTGTTCCTAACTAGAGGAAGGGGAATCCCAAAAGGTCCGACTGTTCCTGCCTTCAACACTGAATACCTTTCCTCCCTCCCTCGTTTAATTTAGACCTGCGCCGGTCCTCATTCGCTTCTCTGGACTGGAAACCCTCCAAACTGCTCTCACTAGAATATTTTGTTCAGAGAAGGTGGGCTGGCACCCATCGGAGATGCATTTTTCAATGTATTTGACAATATGCCAGGGAATGGAAGGCTCCTTTCAAAAATTGGGTGTTTAAATGCTTTAAGTTGTTCTCACTAGGAATGTTATCCCTCTGTCCTCCTCAGGATTGTTTAAAGCAGAGGCAGGATGGCCATCTGTTGGGAGGGCTTAGACTGTGCCTGGATAGCCCATGGGGGGTCCCTTCCAAGTCTATGGTTCTATAATTCAGAGGCAAAATAGCCATGTGTTGGCTACATGGCATCTGTTGGGAGGGCTTAGATTGTGTCTGGATAGCCCTTGGGGATCCCTTCCAAATCTATGGTTCTATAATTCAGAGGCAGAATAGCTATGTGTTAGGAGGCTACATGGCATCTGTTGGGAGGGCTTAGATTGTGTCTGGATAGCCCTTGGGGATCCCTTCCAAATCTATGGTTCTATAATTCAGAGGCAGAATAGCTATGTGTTAGGAGGCTACATGGCATCTGTTGGGAGGGTTTAGATTGTGTCTGGATAGCCCTTGGGGGTCCCTTCCAAATCTATGGTTCTAGCCGTTCCCTGCCACACATTGCTGTGGTCTAGTCTGTGTGTGTTTTGTGTGGGTATATGTGTGTGTATATATACATATGTATGTGTTTGCATGATAGCCCTTGGGGGTCCCTTCCAAATCTATGGTTCTACTAGCCATCTCCTGCCACACGTTGCTGTGAATCATAGAATCAGAGTTGGAAGAGACCTCCTGGGCCATCATCCAGTCCAACCCCATTCTGCCAAGAAGCAGGAATATTGCATTCAAATCACCCCTGACAGATGGCCATCCAGCCTCTGTTTCAAAGCTTCCAAAGAAGGAGCCTCCACCACACTCCGGGGCAGAGAGTTCCACTGCTGAACGGCTCTCACAGTCAGGAAGTTCTTCCTCATGTTCAGATGGAATCTCCTCTCTTGTAGTTTGCTGTGGCCCAATCTGCGTATGTGTATGGTTTTTTGTCCATTCTGATGTGTTTTCCAGTGTTTTTATGAGTGACGGTCACTCATTGGCCTGAGAGGTGTCTTGTGTCCAAATTTGGTGTCAATTTGGTGTCCAGTGGTTTTTGAGTTATGTTAATCCATAAACATTTTTGTTTATTTAAGATAATTCAGAGGCATAATAGCCATGTGTTAGGAGGTTTCATGGCATCTGTTGGGAGGGCTTAGATTGTGTCTGGACAGCCCTTGGGAGCCCCTTCCAAATCGATGGTTCTCTAATTCAGAGGAAGGATGGCCATCTCTTAGGAGTGCTTGGATGGTGCCTTCCTGCCTGGCAGATACGGATTCAGACTGGATGGCCTTTGGAGGTCTCTCCCAACTCTAGGATTCTATGAAGCTTTGTAAATAGAGGCTGGATGACCATCTGTCAGGAGGGCTTGAATGGTGTCTTCTTGCCTGGCAGACAGGGGGGGTCAGACTAGATGGCCTTTGGGGACTCTGGTCACTCTAGGATTTCTATGATGTACCAAACATCTTTCTCTCTCAATTATATCTAACTATCTATGGCAATCTATCTACATCTACCATTCATAGGGATGGATGCGACTGTGTCTTCCGGCCTGTCAGAAGGGGGTTGGACTGGATGACCCTTGGGGCCCCCTTCGAACTCTAGGATCCCTCAGAGATATGCAGCACTTCCTTCAGAACTAGAAGGAGAACTTGGCTACAGGTGGCCCTAATACAATGTCTTCCTGAGGACCATTATTATTATATTTTATGTGCAATTCACAGTTGACCACGTTGGGAATATATATATATATATATATATATAGTCCAAAGCTGTCCATCAATGGAAGCCGATTATGTATGTATGTATGTATGTATGTATGTGTGTGTGTATATATATATATATATATATATATATATATATATATATATATATATATGTGTGTGTGTGTGTGTGTGTGTGTGTGTATGTATATGTATGTGTGTGTCTGTTTTTTGGGGTTTTTTTTGGCATTTTAAGCCTCTTCGAAATGTATGGTTCTCTAATTCAGAGGCAGGATGGCCATCTCTTAGGAGGGCTTGGATAGTGCCTTCCTGCCTGGCAGATATGGGTTCAGACTGGATGGCCTTTGGAGGTCTCTCCCAACTCTAGGATTCTACGAAGGCTTGTAAACAGAGGCTGGATGACCACCTGTCAGGAGGGCTTGAATGGTGTCTTCTTGCCTGGCACAGGGGGGTCAGACTAGATGGCCTTTGGGGACTCTAGTAAGGATGACCATCTGTCAGGAGGGCTTGAATGGTGTCTTCTTGCCTGGCACAGGGGGGTCAGACTAGATGGCCTTTGGGGACTCTAGTAAGGATGACCATCTGTCAGGAGGGCTTGAATTGTGTCCTCTTGCCTGGCAGACAGGGGGGTCAGACTAGATGGCCTTTGGGGAATCTGGTAACTCTAGGATTTCTATGATGTACCAAACATCTTTCTCTCTATCCATCCGCCCATCCATCCACCCATCCATTCTTCTATCTATCTATCTATCCATCCATCCACCCATCCATCCGTTTTCTATCTATCTACTTATCTATCTGTCTGTCTGTCTGTCCGTCCCTCCATCCACCCATCTGTTCATCTATCTATCTATCTATCTATCTATCTATCTATCTATCTATCTATCTATCTATCTATCTATCTATGGCAATCTATCTACATCTACCATTCATAGGGATGGATGAGACTGTGTCTTCCTGCCCGGCAGAAGGGGGTTGGACTGGATGGCCCTTGGGGGCCCCTTCGAATTCTAGGATCCCTCAGAGAGATGCAGCCCTTCCTTCACAACTGGAAGAACTTGGCTGCTGGTGGCCCTCATAACACGTCTTCCTGAGGACGCTTGCAGCTGTTGAGAAAGAGGATGTATATATATATAGAGAGAGAGTCCGCAGCCGTCCATCAATGGAAGCCGATGGGGACCTCCTGGTGCTCCTGCTTGGCTTCCCGGCGGCTGTTCTGGGCGGTGCTCTTGCCGTGCATTTCCTTGAGGTGCCTGCGGAGTCCCGGCTTGTGGGCGAAGCGCACAGCGCAGTAGTTGCAGCGGTGGGGCTTGAGCCCGCGGTGGAGGTTGAGGTGGTCCTGCAGCGTAGCCTTCTGCGTGAAGCGCTTGCGGCAGACCGGGCACTGGAAGGGCTTGACGCCCGTGTGCACCCGGCTGTGCCGCGTCAGGTTGCTCTTCTGCGAGAAGGCTTTGCCGCAGCGCAGGCAGAGGCAGAGCTTGTGCTCCCGCACGTGGGTGGCCAGCGGGCCCAGCTGATGGAAGGGCCGGCCGCAGCGCGGGCACCGGAAGGGGCCCTTCGGACCGTGAGCCGGGCCCTTCCAGCTCCCTCCGCCGTGCCGGTGCAGAGGATAGTTCAACGGGTGGGGCGGAGGGAGCCTTTTGGGGACCGTTTTATCACCACGTTGGGTAAACACACCCCACTCTGCCCCTTCTCCTTGGCAATCTTCCTCTTTCAAAGGTGAAAAATGCCACTCTTCCTCATTGCTTCCATTTCCGCGATTCGGCAAATAGTTCAACTCTTTGCTGCCGCTTTGACTCTCATAGCAACCTTGCAAGTAGCTGCGGGTAATCTCCACCGCCGAGTCGAGGAAGGAGAGCGAAGGGGACGGCAACGGCTCGACCTTGAAGCATTGAGAATTGGAGTATTCCCCTTCGGAAGGCGAAGAAGCCTCCTCTTCCTCCTCCTCCTCCATGCTCTCCTGCTTGTGCCAATGTGGCCAACAGTTCAGAACAGGAAGCCTTGTATTCTCGTAGCATCCTTGGGCGTTCTCCACAGAGAGCGATAGGGCCGGGGACGATGGGGTTGGAGCCGTGGAGGACTCGGCCACTTCCTCCTCCTCCTCGCTGTCCTCTTCCTCTCCACAGAGCAAGGGGCCCGCTTTGGGGGCCAAATACCGGGAGAGGGCCTGTGCGCAGCGCTCGGCCACGTGGACCATCTGCAGGGCGGAGGCGGCCGA